ACTTTAAAAAGTTACAGAACATGGCCTGGAGAGATTGCTCAGTGGTTAGGAGCACTGACTGCTGTTGCAGAGGATGCGGGTTCGATTCCCAGCACCCATATGGTGGCTATGAACCGTCCTTAACTCCTGTTCCAGGGGAATCCGAAGCCGTTCTGACCTCTGTGGCATTGCACAACACAGGTGCACTCAGATACATGCAGGCAATACACTCATATACATAAAATATTTTTTTAAACTTACAGAACATGCTAGATCTCTTGAGTTAGTGTCTAGTGTTCAATGGAACTCACTAGTGGAATCATTGTTCTCTGTGCACTGGAAATCCTCTGACTGCACAGGGTCCAGGCAGCAAACTCATGAGGCTTGGCAATGCATGCCAGTCTTCATACTCCTCCTCACCATCTTCATCATATTCTAGGGAGGAAAGTCATTTCCTTTGTCAGTCTCAGGAGGCAACATCCTGATTCAGGAGAGGAATGACATAACCCTTCACTCCTTCCTGGCATCTAAAAGGTGATGAGAGGCTGGGGCTCAGGCTCAGTTGGCAGTGTTTGCCTAGCACTCAGACAGCCCTGGGTTCCATCCCCAGCATCCCATAAACTGGACATAGTGCTACACCCCAGTAATCTTAGTACTCAAGAGGCAGAGGCAGGAGGTTCAGAAGTTCAAAATCATCCTGATCTGCATGGGACTTTCCAGGCTAGTGTGAGATACATGAAACCATGTCTCAGAAAATAAGTGAAAAATAAAAACATAAGATGATTATGAGCTACAGACTTACACAGTCATGAGCTTCCATCCAGGTCTTTGAATCTTAGGTGGGTTTTCCCATGCTCCAGAGAAAAGAAATTGCATGGGATAACACATCCCGTCATAACAGCACCCATCTCTGCAGCAGTGGGAGGAGTGATGACCAGAAGAAACAGCTTCATTGTGACACTGCAGTCAGCTCTAAGGTGGAGTCTTGGCTAAGATGCTAGCTTTTATTCTCTCCCTTTCTTCTTTGTATTTTCTAATGCTGATTCTCCTGTTTCTTTATTATGGGGAGGAGGTGGTGAATGCCCACACGTATATGCAGTTACGCATGCTTGTACATGTGGGGAAGACAGGAGGATGTTGGATGCCCTGCTTTATCACTCTCCACTTATTCGCTTTGAGGCAGATCTCTCAAGGAATCTGGGGCTATGCTGGCAGCAAGCAAGCCCCAGTAATCCCCAGGGATTCTCTGTCTCTGGCCCCAAATGCGCTGTTGTTACAGGTGAGCATGCAGCCATACCTGACTTTTTACATGGGTGCTGGGAATTCAAACTCAGGTCCTCATGTTTATCTAGCAAGTCCTCTTACCCACTGAGTCGTCATCCCAGCCCCATATTTTCCGGTAAAATCCCAGAATGAGTTGCTTTATTGTATGAGTTATATATAGTTGACTACTGTATGAAGTCAGGACATATGACTGCTCAAATGAATCAGTCATTTACAAACTTTGACCTTCAGTTTCTTCTCCCAAAAGAATGGGAATAGATATTCAGACTTCAATAGTAAAGGGTTAGAATGTTTTCTAGAAATAGTGTAAAGCTGATAAATTAAATAACTATAATAAAACTAAAATATATAATTGTTTCTTAATATGCACAAGAAATTGATACTAGAACAGCCCAAGATTACCAGAAGCTGCACACATTCAGTCCTTTGTATAAAATGGTACATATATGCATGTAACCTTCATACATAAACTTGTGTAATTTAAACCAGGTCCAGTTTCATGTACTGAATGCAATGAAAGTGCAGTGCAAATAGTTGTTGTACTATACCAGTTACTTTTCTCATTACTGTGATGAAATGCCTGACAATGACAACTTAAAGGAGGAACAGTTTATTTTGGCCCATGATTTGAAGGCACAGTCCATCATGGTGGGAAGGCCTGGTGGCAGGAGTGTGAGGCAGCTGGTCACATTGCATCCACAGTCAGGAAGCAGAGAGAGACAAAGGCTGGTGCTCGGCTCATTTTCTCCTTTTAATTCAGTCCAGGGCCCCAACCCATGGAATGGTGCTGTCCACGTTTAGGGTGGGTCTCCCCACATTAATTAACTAATTTGGAAACGCCCTCTCAGAAATGTCCAGAGGGTTGGCCACTAGGTAGTTCTAAATTCTCAATTTGCCAATCATTAACCATCAAATTTGTTACATTAAAAAGCACAATTTATACCTATTTAATTCAAAATTCATATTTCTTAAATATTTCTATACTAGGTGGAATGTGTGGATATGGAACTTATGGATCCAGAGGGATGAGCGTTTAAGTTTGAAAAATGAACAAAAATCTTCAGATTGCTCTATCATTTTGAATGTTTTGAAGTCAACAGATATATGGCAAATGCGTCTTTTTAAAATGGAATACTAAGGACCACACTTGCCTTCTCTAAGAAGCAATTAAATAAAAAGGACAAAATATATAAAGTAACGTCACTACAGACATTGGGTATTAAGTAACAAATGACAAGAATATCTGACAGATAGGAAACAAATGTATTGTTTAGAGCCTGAGTCCATGCACAGAGAGCCCCTACTAGAATGTTTGAGAAAACTGCAGTGAGGAAAAACCAGCCCCCAAAGAAACAGTGCTCAAATTCACACAAAGTTAGCAAAAGTGCCAATTTTCACTTCCAGTGCATAGAATATCAGAATTCAGGGGTCATTGATTAGAGTATCAAGAAGGGCCTTCTTTCAGTAGTGGGAAAAAGTTAGCCCCATGCTAAAAATACTTCTGCTGCTGTTGCGGGTTCTCCTCAGGCCAGCTGTGAAGACCCTAACCTGGATCAGGTCCCCTGCCAATTAGGGGGGCAAGAGGCACGGAGTCACAACACACAGACTCTGGGAGTCAGGTAGAAGCAAACACTAGGCAAGGTGCTGCAGGCTCGTTTAATGCGGGGGGGGGCAGGCCTTATATTTCCCTTTTCTCTGCCCCCAAGTCCCTTTAGTCAGCGTATAGTTTTCTGATTTGTCCGCACCATGCAGTCTGTCAGCAGTAACTGGGCTCGCGAGCAGGGTACGGAGGCATGGGCTCCTTTTGGCCGGCTATTTGCCAACCAAGAAGTGAAGTGAATTCTCGCTGAATCCCAGGCCACTGGGTGGCGCCATCTTTGGAGGCCTCCTGCTACATGCTCCAACTAAGAAAGATTAGTGGCAAACATCAGATCAGTCTAACTATTCTGAGTCATTTAACCGTAATTCAGAGAAGAGTTCAAAAATATTTTAGGTATATTAAAAATATCTATCATGTAGCAAGTTAAAAGACAATTCTGACATTCTATCAGAAGCTACCAGCAATGAGGGGAAAAAAATCAATCAATCTAAATGAACAGGAAATGGCATTAGTATTAGAACCATGCTCTCAGTCAATGTGCCAGTGTTCCTTTAGCGTAGAAAGCTGGAGCAAAGTCTGAGAGAAATCTTGTTGCTGAACATGTAAAAAGTCTCCAAACCAAAGTTCCAAAGATAAAAACTATGGTGTCTGGGCTAGACTTGATGGTATTAATAAAACACAACATCACAGAAAAAAGGTTAATGAATTTGAAGATATGGCAATAAAAAAAATTCAAAATAAAACACGCTGAGAAGACTGTGAAGAATCGCGCTCAACACACAGGGACAAAACCAAGTTTCGGGATGCAAAAGCAAGAGGAATTTATTCATACACAGGCGCCTGCGGACGCAGAGTCCCGCTCGAGTCAGGACTTGCGTGCCGGGCTTAGTTTGGGGGGGCTTTTTATAGAGCAGAAGCAAGGTACAGAAGCAGATGCATGGTTACAAGATTATTATTAGTGCATTTCAATGGGTACAAGGTATGAGGAAACAGTATTGCCAAATTCAGAGGGGGCTATGGGTGAAACTGATTGTTATCGTTAACTTCCCAGTAGGGGCTGTTATCACTAACTTCCCGGTAGGGGCCTCAGGGTGGTGGCAGGTGGTCCGACTGCAAACGTCCTATCTTCCACTGCTAGTTTCACAAGACCTGGGTTAGAATCTTGGCTTATCAAATGGCTGATTACAGTTCTTTTTCTAAAATGGCCTTCCTGCTGTCAGTCGGGTCCTTCAACTGGGGGTGGGGCAAGGAGGAACAGTCCCTGTAAGCAGTCAAATTTATGTACCTAAAGGAAGAGGAAAAAAATTGGAAAAATAATGGTCATAAGGAGAAGAAATGAGGGAGGGGATTCTGAATATAATCAAAATAAATACTATGAAATTCTCAAATAATCAATAAAAATAGTATTTAAATATTATTTAACTAATAATAGGGAAAGGAAGCACATTGTCCCAGCCCAACCCAAAGAAGCCATTCCAAAGTTAATGCTTGGACCCTCTTGATCAGTCAGGGAAGAAATATGGAATCCAATTTAGGGTGGAGGTTTGCTGGGCCGTCCTGACACAAGGCAAGACAGTCATTGCCTCAAAACCCATGACTGGAGTTACAGACGATTGCTAGCCACCATG